TATTCCCCATTCTCTCATAGTAAATACATCACAAATTTTGGTTAAAATAATTATATTGATATTATTATGACTCTGTACCTATTATTCAGTGATGAGCTGAGTAGTAATTGTGGTTAATGTTTCCTGTCCTGGGTCTTTTTTTTTTTTTCTTGGTATTTTTTCACTGTTTCTTTTCCGTCATCCTTATTTCCTTTCTCTGTTGAAGAGTCTGTAGGAGAACAGCTTAAGCCCTACTCAGAGCTGGCTCTTCCTCATTCAGGGTCCTGAGTGGTGGAAGCTGCAGATGAGACGCCAGTGGCCAGATGAGCGCTCCAGTCCTCAGTAGGGAACTGCTGGACTGTGTCTACAGGGGGCACCTGTGTGCCCAGAGACCAGTCTGTGCCCTCAGGCTCAGTAGCCATCAGCCCAGGAGCTGGAGCAGTCCATTCACCCCGAAATTCTCCCTAGGTCACAGCCTTTTTCAGCAGCAGCCTGCTCTTCCTTTCCAGCCTCCTCAGGATCTTTTTTAGAAGTAGAGCTCAGTCTTTCTGGGTGGTTCAGACAGTAAAAAAATCGGCCTGCGATGCAGGAGACCCAGGTTCCTGTGTCTCCTTCATTGGCAGGTGCGTTCTTTACCACTAGTGCCACCTGGGGAGCTCCCCAGGTTTTCCGTATATCTATCCAATTATCTTTTTAATTGTCAAATAGTCATCAATTATTATTCTCCAAAACTCATAGATTGAGATCTAGAGATTTCACTTTTGTGTAGGGGACTTCTTTCCATAAGCTTTTCTACTCTTATTTTTATATACTAATAGGTTTTGGGGTGGAGTGATAAGCTGGTAAACCAAACTTTTGCTCTTGGAACTCCAAATGGCAACATATAGAAGGCTATCTCTGCAACCATTTGGTTTCTCCAAAGAACACTCCAATATTCAGTATGGGAGGCATGGGTTTGGCTGGCGGGAGTTCAAAGAAAGGAATAGGAAAAATTGGGGTGTGAGGAGTCACATATTCAGCTTCCCAGGTGGTACAGTGGTAAAGAATCCGGCTGCCAATGCAGGAGATGCAAGAGACGGGGCTTTGATCCCTGAGTCGGGAAGATTCCCTGGAGTAGGAAATGGCAACCTACTCCAGTATTCTTGCCTGGAAAATTCCATGGACAGAGGAGCCTGGTGGGCTAAAGTTCATATGGTCCATGGGGTCGCAAAGTGTCGGATACAACTGGGCAAATGAACACACACGTGACACACATTCAGCATACAGACTCACTTATCATTTCCCTGTGAGCACTGTACTCCACTTCCAGTTCCCAAAGAACCCATGTGTACCTCCAAGCTCTGAGCCTGTCCTCAGTCAGTGACCTGTCTTGCAAAACTGCAGCCACCTTGTTAATTCTATAACTTTATTCCTCTGTTTCATTTCAGTGGGTGTTTTGGAAAGAAAATGAGTGAATGTAGTCAATTCACCATGCTTTTCCAGACTCCCAAATTCATTTAACTCAGGAATTAGATCCTTAGGATCTGATTTTCTCAAATCATCCCTTTTGAGTTTCATTTTTGCCTCTCATCCCTTTTGAGTTCCATTTCCCTCTTACTAATGTCCTTTAGATTTTAGGTATGAGAATGAAAATTCTCCATCTTTTATCACTTTCATTAACAGCTTGATGGGTTTTTACCAGGTGAACATACTTGTATTCGCTTCCCAAATCAGAGTTTTGTTAGCCACACCATAAGCCTGTGTTCTCCATTCCAATCACAAACCCCTCACTGCCCCAGAAGCAGTCACTGTCCTAACTATGATAGTCACAATTTTTAAAAGCCTTTAAGTATGTATTTAGACTCTTATCATCTTACTCTTAGTTTTTAATTTGATGTCTTTAAAAAATATTTTATTGAAGTGTTGTTGATTTAGTGTTGTCTTAATTTCTACTATACTGCAAAGTGATTCAGTTAGACATATCATATTATTTTTCATATTCTTTTCCATTAGAGTTTATCACAGTGTTTTGAATCCCTGCGCTATACAGTCGGACATTATTGTTTAGCCTATTATAATAATTTGTATCTGCTACTCCCAAGCTCCCAATCCTTACCTCTCCCACCCCTTCACCCCTTGGGAGTGTACAAAGGAAAATAGTATTCCATTGTATGTATATATGCATGTATGATAACATCACATCTTCTTTATCCATCCATCTCTCAATGGACATTTAAGCTGTTTCCATGTCTTGGCTGTTGTGAACAGTGCTGCTATGAACACTGGGGATGCATGTTTCTTTTTGAATTATAATTTTGTCCAGATACATACCCAGGGGTGGAATTGCTGGGTCATAAGGTAGCTCTATTTTTAGCTTTTTGAGAAAGCTTCATGCTGTTTTCCACAATGACTGCACCAATTTACATTCCTCCCAACAGTGTAAGAGGGTTTCCTTTTCTCTACACCCTCTCTAGAATTTCTTAGGCTTTTTAAAGATGGCTATTCTGACTAGTGTGAGGTGGTACCTCCTTGTAGTTTTGACTTGCGTTTCTCAAATAGTTATGTTGAGCATCTTTTCATGTGTCTTTTGGGCATCTGTGTATCTTCTCTGGAAAAATGTCTGTGTCTTCTGCCCACTTTTTGATTGGGTTATTTGTTTTTTAATATTGAGTTGTATGAGCTGTTTTAATATTTTGGAAATTAAGCCCTTATCAGTCACTTCATTTGCAAATATGTTCTCCCAGTCTGTAGGTTTTCTTTTCATTTTGTTTATGGTTTCCTTTGCCCGTGTTTGATTAGGTCCCATTTTTAAATTTTGTCTCTATTTCTGTTGCCTTGAGAGTGAGATCATATCAATGTTTTCTTAGGTCTGTGTCGGAGAATAATTTACCTATGTTCTCTTCTAGGAGTTTTATGGTGTTGTGTCTTATATTTAAGTCTTTAAGCTACTCTGGGTTTATTTCTGGGTATGGTGATGTTACGGAAAGAGTGTGGTGGGTCCAGCTGCTTGTCACTCAAAAACCAGTAAACAGGCCAAGTTGGTGGAAAGGAAAATTTGCTTTATTTCAGATGCCAGCAACTGAGGGCAGGGGAGGGTAGTGGACATCTGTCCAAAAGCCAACTCCTCCTTCCTCGACAAGCAGTGGGGCAAGAAATTTTACAAACAGAAGTGGGGGGCGGCCACATGCAGAAATAGCACAGTCATCTCTAACAGTCATCTTCAAATTGATCATCAGTGGTCTGACCAGCGTCATCTTGGTGGTTTTAGGAACAGTTAATCTTCAGTTCAGACATGACTGAGCGACTTCACTTTCGCTTTTCACTTTCATGCACTGGAGAAGGAAATGGCAACCCACTCCAGTGTTCTTGCCTGGAGAATCCCAGGGACGGCGGAGCCTGGTGGGCTGCCGTCTATGGGGTCGCACAGAGTCGGACACGACTGAAGCGACGCAGCAGCAGCAGTCTTCACTTCCAGGGCTCACTTGTTCCCATTTCTTTGTGGCCAGTTCTTGGAATTGTAGCGGCTCGTGTCCTGGGTGCAGTCTGGCCATCATGTAGTTAGCTTTTCCACCTGGTGTTTGAGTATCTCTAAGACAGCCCACGGGATGTGGCTCAGAATATTATCTACCGCCCTTGAGAAAGAACTGGAGGTCCTTGACTATGCTAAATGACCGCATTATTGTTATTTAGTCCCCTTGACTGTTATCCTTTGTTTCCACATTTCTCTCTTCGCTGATTAAGCCTCTTTAAAGTTTTCCACAGACAAAAGGCAGGCAGAGGACATGGTCCGGGCGGGGGGCTGGGGGGCAAGGACCATATGGTCCTGCTCCATTTCAATCCCCACTTTTCTTTGATCCTCCTCAATCTTGAGGAGGGACAGGTACAGAACAAGACAGGGAATAAAGTTTCAGAGTACCTGGACAAACTTTTGAAATTACTAGACACATTACACTGAGGATAATAATAAAAATGCATCTTTGTATTTTTCTCTGAATATATTTTTCTCTTAATGGTTAACGCAGATGTACATGTATATTTCTTTTTTTTTTTTTTACTCTTTTCATTTGCATTTATTTAAACACAGTTCTCAAAACATTTGAGTGAAATTGGGCATCCTTTGGTAAGCAAAGGACCTGAAAGTAATATTTAAAAAATGAACAGGCAAAGTCTTCAGATCATCCACAACACAGGTGTAGTGTTCCCTTCTTTTTTCTCAAAAACTCTGAAGCACCCAGTTTTTCCATATAGTCTTAAAAGCTAGAAGAACAAGAGTACATTTGTGGTGGAATGTATTGTCACTGCTGATAACTGAAATACCATTATCCCCTTGTAACAGCTTTAAGAAATAGCCTTTTTAAGGCATACATTGTGTAACTCATCTTATTCCCTGCTATATATAATACAGATTACATAAAGGCTGACAAATTCACATTATATAAGCAGTAAGCATTTGCTGTATTGAAAGATCTTTAGTTTTTAACACTAGCAGTATAGAGTTACAGAGCGTAATTTTTATCACTTAATTGCAGGTATATTAAGTATGGTATGTTTCATGGATTGGAGGAAAACGGGCATTTTTGTCTTTAATTTACTACTGACAATCTAATCTGAACAGTTCTGCTAAGCATTGATATGTTAGAAAGAAAAGTAAAAACCAAACTTTATTGTTGCTTTTTGCCATTTGGTAGCATTTTACACACAGGCTTCGATCTTCAGAATACCCTGGATTCAGTAGAAAAACCATTTAAATGAAGTTCTGTACAATAGAAACTTCTCAGCAGTCAAAATTTTAGACTGTAAAAAAATACATGCAAAACATACTTTTCTGAAAACCCTTAACTTTGAACAAAGCACCGAACTACACGAATGCAGAATGAAAACAGCATTTCAACTCCACCAAAAGTAGTCATCATAAAAGGTGTAAAAGTCACCTAATTTCACTAGGCACTGTTCACTTTTTAAACAGGAGACAATAAAAAATACTGTCCACAAACAATATCCCAACTCTAGGGCAGGTTTCAGCAAGTCTTCAACTTCATGCCTTAATAGCGACGAGCTGAGTATGATCGAGATCTGGAACGCGATCTGTATCCTCCACGACTATAGTAGGGAGAAGGTGACCGTCTTCTGTATATCTGATCCCTGTCTTGAGCAGCTCTCCAACCTCCTCCTCCTCCACCTCCACCTCTGTACGATCTGCTGTAATAGTCCCGATCATCATAGCCTCGATCACATCCTCCGTCATAGTAATCTTGACGGCGTGAGCCGCCATAGGTAGGTCTCCCCATGTAAATTCCTGGTGTTGGGGTATGTGGTCTTTTCGTTATGGAGAAGTCAACTCTGATCCTACGTCCATCAAGCTCCATTCCATTGGCACGCTCTTTTGCTTCCTTGGCATCATCTACATTTTCAAAGTATACAAAGGCAAATCCTCTTGGACGTCTAGATTGCTGGTCATATACAATAGATACATCAGCAATTGGACCATACTTAGAGAACACTTCTCTTAGATCTCTTTCTGTAGTGTACAAGCTCAATCCAAATACTCCAAGACAACAGTTGGGATCAGGATTTGCCCGATTCCCAACATGACGCCGGCGAGTAGACATGGGAGAATGACTGTGGCTATGCCGTCTTCGATAATCTCTGCTGTAAGATCTGCTACGAGATCGTCTATGGGACCGGGACCGAGATCGTGACCTTGTATAATGCCTCCGAGAACTTCTTCTGGATCTAGACCTAGATTCAGATCTGGACCTGGACTTGATCTGGAACGCCTGGAATCTTCCTTGGAGTGAGACCTTGCAGGGGTATGCCTTGCAGATTTCCCAGATCCATGAGCACTTCCACTTCTGGAAGCAGAACCGGATTCCCGCTCGCCGTAGTTCTGCTCGCCGCTGTCGCTCATGACTTCCACTGCTGTCACCGCTCGATGTGCTTCAATCGAAGCTGCCAACCTCTCGCGCCTTCAGTGTAGAGGCTCCGCCGCAGCCTCGCACTACACACCGGTTCCCGATGCGTTGAGAGCCGAAACGCTCCGCGCCGCCTCCGCTTGGGCTCTAAGTCTCAGCTGTACATGTATATTTCATAAGCCACAAACAGGCTGCTTTGGCTAGCCTAAAGTTCAAAGTAAAGGTCAAAATGACTTCCCCACATCTCAATATGTGAAAATTTCTTCCATCATTTTCCCCTTTTAAATGTAACTCCTTTCATAGGAAGCATTGATAATCAATATATTTTTCCAGTGTTGCCAGAGTGGTTCTTTTGCTTGCTCTGGTCCTTCCACGTCCCTCATTGCTAGGCCTTCTTTTTATTTATATGTTTGCCTAGTTGTCCATGTTGGGGGGAAACTAATCAGGTACCATGAACAGGCTCAGAGGTTAATAGGGAAATGCTTTATAGGCCACACATTTTATCATCTATACCCAAATGTCACACAAACATTGCACATGTGCTTTAAGCAGTAAATTACAGGCAGCAGTGCTACAGATCATGCGTAGTTATACTCTGTGACATCTTTACTGGACAATTTCTCCATCCTGAACATTAGGGTCAAAAGTACGGTTAGAAACAAAGCAATTATTTTCCATTAGAAGTCTCTGTTAACCAAAATCAGATCAATATTCCAGGATAACTTTGCTTTCTTAACAGAGAGACAAAATCAAATTCAGTCTTGCAACAGTTTACTGTTAATAACAAAATTCATTTACCTAATTAAATTCAGTCTAATCTTAATCCCGACAACATACAAAATTCTTTTCTCAGAGTTCCTTTTTAATAGACCTTTTATCATCTTCTGGATCCAAAAAAATTTGTCCTGTATTTCTTCATCCAGAAACAAACAACTGTAGGACAAAATTATTATCATTTTTTTTCTAACCAAATATATCTCCATTTTTTATACCTTTTCTTCATGCACAACACATATCTGACTTGCTTTACATACTAAAATGGTCCCCTTATCATTTTGATATATCACAATTTTTAATCCTTGAATACATTAACAAAACCAAGAAACAAGTGATTAAAATGTTACACCAGCATCTTCTATTTGACAAACTTAAGAATATATTCTATAACCTCAAAAAAAATACTTTTCTTCATAGCACAATTTTTCTTCAGTGTTACAACATGCATGTTTAATAAACTAAAACATCTTTAGTTTCCCTCTTGGTCTTACAAGAAGACAAAAGCAGGTAAATTTAGATTTGTTTGATTTATAAGTGCTTATTTCTGTTTAAGACCAATTAAATAGAGCTCTTTTACAAATAAACCTTAGCAATATTATCCAAAGACAAAACCACATATTAAGACATACAAACATCCAGATAAGCAGAGATCTCACTGTTTCATTTTTCTGCATTTCATAAATTAGGTATTACAATTAAACTTATCAGTCAGAATAGCCAAATTTACACACTCAATTCGGCTTCCCTCCTTTTTTCTTTTTGATTTGAATTTTTACTATTAACCCAAGGCTGAAGATCCAGGCAAAGTGGACTGTGTTTGTGTTTCAAGGACATGATGAGTGTTAACTTCAGATTTTCTGCTAGGCATATTTTTGTTTCCTCAGGGTCTGAAAAAAGTGTTTCATCAAGCTGGCTTTCCCTAACGGCATATGCAAAATGAACCTTTTTTTTTTTTTTTTAATTTCAAGAGTTTCATCTTAACCTATCTTCTCCAGACTCTAAAGAATACTGTTGCCAAACATACATTGTCCCAAAAAACCCATTTCTTTTAGTCATAATTTCATGGCTAAAATTTTTCCTAATGAATTGAACCTGAATGGACCAAACAAGAGTACCAGGCATACAAATGGAATACACACTCACACAGCTACTATAAATGCTCTCTGAGGGTGACCGGTACAAAATCCCAAACACACACTTCCCCAGCATAAACGGTCCTTAACAGCAGTCAGATGTCGGAATCAGTTGGCAAGAGTGCCCAAATAGCACTTCATGCTTCAAAATGGTCCTCAAAGGCAGACAGACATCAGAACCAATTGGCAAAAATGTCCAAATAGCAGTCAGTGCTCACAAACAGTCCTCAACGGCGGTCAGAACCAGTTGGCAAGAATGCCCAAATAGCACTAGTACTAACAGATGGGAAGGTTGCCTGTGTGCACACCAGTGGATTTACCTGGTTTTGGAGCTCATCAGCTCGTCCCAAATTCAAGTTTCCATCCGACCAAAGAAAAGCATCAGTCGGCAACCAGTGCCAAACAGGGGGAAACAGGGAGGATCCTCAAAACAAATGGTTTCGGCAGCAGCTCGGAACGTCCCCCCAGTTCCCTACTTGGGGCTAGCTAGCCATAAACAACAGGCTAATACACTGTCATGGCCACAGCTCTCCCCTGAAAAACCCAGGACAGTCAGGTGCCTTTAAAGCAGAAGCCAGCAGTAGCCAGCTCCACGTTGGGCCACCAAAGTCTGTTACCGAAAGAGGGTGTGTGGGGTCCGACTGATCACTGCTCAAAAGCCAATAAAGAGGCTAGGTTGGTGGAGAGGAAAGTTTGCTTTATTTCAGATGCCAGTCACTAGGAGGACGGGAGGAGGATGGCAGACATCTGTCCAAAGGCCAACTCCCCCTGCCCCCCGACAAGCAGGGGGCAAAAGATTTTATGGATAGAAATGGGAGTGGCTACATGCAGAAATAGCACAGTCATCTCTAACAGTCATCTTAAAATTGGTCATCACTGGTCTGACCAGCATCATCTTGGTTGTTTTAGGTATAGTTAATCTTCAGTTCCAGGGCTCATTTGTTCCCATTTCTTTGTGGTCAGTTCTTGGAACTGTGGCAGCTTATGTCTGGATGCAGTCTGATCATCATGCAGTTAACTTCTGCACCTGATATTGTAGCATCTATAAGACAGGTCACAGCCCTTGAGAAAGAACTAAAGGTCCTTGACTATGCTTAGTGACATTATTATTATTTAGTCTTTGACTGTTTTCCTCTGTTGCTACACTTCTCTCTTCTTTGATGAAACTTAGTCTTTGACTAAAGTTTTCCACAGAGAAAAGGCAGGCAGAGGACATGGTGGGGGAGGGGGCAAGGCTCTAGTGTCCCACTGTGTTTTAATGGGAGCGTGTGCTCTTCATTGATTTACATGCAGCTGTCCAACTTTTCCAACACCACTTGCTGAAGAGACTTGTCTTTTCTCCATTGTGTATTTTGCCTCGTTTGTTGAAGATTAATTGACTATAGGAGTGTGGGTTAATTTCCAGGCTCTCTATTCTGTCCCATTTATCCATGTCTATTTTTGTGCCAATACAAAAACTGTTTTGGTTACCGTAGCTTTGTAGTATTGGCCGAATTCTGGGAGGGTTATGTTTCCTGCTTTGTTCTTTTTCCTCAGGATTGCTTTGGCAAACTTGAGTCTTTTACAGTTCCACATAAGTTTTAGGATTATTTGTTCTAGTTGTGTGAAAAATGTTGTGAGTAATTTGATAGGGAGCACATTAAATCTGTAGATTGCTTTGGATAGTATGGCCACTTCAACAATATTAATTCTTCTAGTCCCAGAACATAGGATATCTTTCCATTTCTTTGAATCATCTTCAGTTTCCTTTATTAATGTTTTATGATTCTCAGCATATAGGCCTTTCACCTCCTTAGTCAGGTTTATTCCTAAATATTTTATTGCTTTGACATGATTGTAAAAGGTTTTGCTTTTTAACATTCCCTTTCTGATATTTCATTGTTTATGTAAGGAAATGCAAGATTTCTGTATGTTAATCTTGTATTCAGCTACCATGCTGAATTTATCAGTTCTGGTAGTTTTTGTGTGGAGTCTTTAGGGTTTTCTAGATATAGTATTGTGTCATCTGCATATAATGACAATTTTACCTCTTCCCTTCCAATTTGGATACTTTTTATTTCTTGTCTGATTACTATGACTACGATTTCCAATCCTATGTTGAATGAAGTGGTGAGAGTGGGCATTCATATCTTGTTCTGGATTTTAGCAGGTAGGCTTTCAGCTCTTCACCATTGGGTATTATATTGGCTGTGTGTTTGTCATAAATAGCTTTTATGATGAGATGTGTTCCCTCTATACCCACTTTAGCAAAAAGTTTTTATCATGAATGGATGTTGAATTTTACCAAATTCTTTTCCTTCATCTATTGAGATGATCATTGGTTTTTATCTTTTCCTTTATTGATGTGGTGTATCATACTGATTGATTTCTGTGTGCTGAACCATTCTGTGACACTGGGATAAATCCAACTTGGTCATGGGGTATGATCTTTTTTATGTGTTGTTGGATTTGGTTTGCTAATATTTTGTTGAAAATTTTTGCATCTTTATTCATCAAGGATATTGGTTTGTAACTTTCTTTTTTGGTAGTGTCTTTGTTTAGTTTTGGTATCAGGGTGATGGTGGCTTCATAGAATGTCTTTGGGAGTATGTCTTCACTTCTCTTCAGTCTTCTAGAAGAGTTTGAGATGGTATTTTTGGTAGAATTTGCCTGTGAAGCCATCTGGTCTTGGACTTTTGTTTGTGGAGAGGTTTTTTTTTTTTTTTTTTGTAATTACAGATTCCATTTCACTTTCAGTCTATTAAAATTATCTGTTTCTTCTTGGTTCAGTTTTGGTGGGTTGTATGT